TTCGGGGGGGCTTCACCTCGTTAAAAATAACCCTATCCACCCTATGTCAGATATAAACGTGGTACACCACACCGCTCCCGTATAGTGTCGGTAGGTGTCGATAAGACAGGTATCCTAACCCCACAACTGTCAGACTTTAACAATTTATAACTCTGTTATTAGTGCCAAGCAACAATTTTAACTTGCGGTTTCGTGTTTTACAGGCAAAAATACACGATCCTGTAAATTTTCATCAAAATCGGTGAGGATGCCCCTCTCCTTCAGTATTACCGTAACTTGTTGTTTACGGCACGTTACAAAGTTTTTTATGAAAAAAAAAATGTAAAGCCATATATGGTAAATTATTAAAAAACTCATTTTTTCTCGTTCTCTTATATCATATCGTATCATACGATTCGTGAAATTATACAGTTAAAAATCCTACAGTTTAATAATTATCTTTTCTACATGGTGTACATATTAACAGCAGTTTTGACCGTTCCACGGAACAACAGTTCCTCCATGCCATTGCCGAAACAATACGCTATGCAAAACAGAGAATACGCAATAATATAAATTACCCACGACAAAATGCGCACGGAGGTCGACGTATTCGTCAAAGGCAAAACGCCAGAAATATTTTCGAAGATGAAAACTTGGATAATGAAGACAACATTGATGATCATCTTGATGGTCAATGAATGAACATTGAATTTGTTTAATATCAATACTTTTACGGAATTACCGAAAGTAAACTTTCCGCGTGTAATGCGGTTAAGCCATAATCGGATCTTCTTCAGACTATGTCTGATGTAAATTTTGTTTATTTTTATAAGAAGAAAATTATAATTATTCTTACAGAAAGAAATTTTTTAGTTTGTAATAAGGTTTTTGCGTTAAATTTAACGAGCGGCATAGTATGACTATTTTTTGTAGCGAATGCTAGTATCATATATGTAAATGCAGCGTATGCGTTGCGTTACTATTAGTAAAAAAACGTCTATATCTTAATAAAAACGATAAAAACAACCAAATCTCCAACCACAACTAATATTATGTCAATGTTATAATTTTTAATTCAACTATGTAAATGTCATATGCAACTCATATCATTATATTTTCATTGTTGCGTACGAAATTATAACATTAATATAACGTTAGTTGTAATATACTCAGTATCTCCAATTTTATAAAAAAAACCCCATGCTAACATTAATATTTATTTCAGAGCTCAGAATTAAGCTCACAGTTCATGTGAAAATGAAGAGCTACGCGCTCACTATGTCCCTGCTACCACGTAACGCCTGGCAGCCAAGTCAACGATCGCACATGCGACGCTCTGTCTTTGGAGCATTCCGATCACGATAACTTTTTCAATCGAAATGCTTCAAAGATGGAGCGTCGCATGTGCGATCGTTGACTTAGCCGCCAGGCATTACGCGTAGGCGTAGCTCTTCATTTTCACATGAACTGTGCACTAAATCCCGAGCTTTGATACTTAAAAGCGATCTTCTTGCTGGCAAATACTTTGCAATTATTTTAATGCTCTTTATGTTCTCCGATTGCTAGCTATTTGATGACTCGCATTGATATAGCAAGACAAGTCAGCAAAAGAATAAGCATATGAGAACATTAAATTGCTTATTCTTGACGCAAAAATTCCGCAATTATTTGTTGTGTATTTGTTGCAAATTTGCCATCATACATTTGCCAGCATAACTTGCTCGCAACTTGTCCACGTATTGAGGAATCACCTTGTTCCGTTTTTTACTCAATTAAATTGATTGATTTGACAGCAAATTGCCAGCAAGTTTGCAGACATTTGGTTATCTGGGCATACACGACTGCCGTAAACTGTAAGCTTCGACCACAGTCCACAGTCATCATCGGCATTGAAGAAAGATCGCAAAGTGTCAAGTGCTGCTTGCTATATCTTCGTTTTTGTATTGTATTTACGTTCTATTGTGATAAGTAAGTAAAACGTTGATAACAATATATTTACAATATATGTTTTGACATTTCATAATTTACAATGTAAACTATTTGTATTTATATATTTTTACTATAAAATCATTTTTATATTCATTTTTTTTAATGCGAAAGCCGCTTTGAATAAGAAAATTTGAGTAAAATAATATTTATTTATTATTACAAAAAATCTGAAAAGAAAAGGCATATACCGTTTTTTAGGTTATGCAGGATAATCAAGGAAAAAAATATTTTTGTAGAATACTTTTCCTGAATTATGGATGATGGAGAGGAAATGTTGCTGGGACTTTTAGTTCTGGGTGTTGGTCTTATATTATTGTGTCGCCGAGAGAAAGGACAAAAGTGGGCTAAGAGAAGGTGGTGGGTCCGTCCCATCAACCGTCAACGTAACGAGCAAGGAGATTATATGAACTTGTTGCAAGAAATGAAATTAGATCCAGTTATGTTTTTTCGTTACACCCGAATGACATTACCGCTTTTTAACAATTTACTCGAAAAATGAGAGCACATTTGACGAAAAGTAATTGGAGAGCTTTACAACCGGAGCGGAGACTTGCTATTACTCTCAGGTACGTACAATATTTTATTTATAAATAATTGGACACATTAAACGGATAATTTTTATGCTTATCTAATAATCAATCTTTTCAATATTGCTACTGTACAGGTATCTTGCAACTGGAGATTTGCCATTGTCAATTGCATTAGCCCACCGCGTTGGTGAATCAACGATTTATAAGGTGGTAAAAGAAACTTGCGATGCATTAATAAATGTACTGGAACCTATATATCTGCGAAAACCAATCAGAAAATAGTGGATAAAAATTTCCAATGGCTTTTGGAGAAACTGGAACTTCCCGAATTGTGTGGGAGCCATAGATGGCAAGCATGTGCAAATTAACGCACCGCCCAATTCAGGAAGCTTATATTACAACTACAAAAAAACTTTCAGCACGGTGCTGATGGCAGCCTGCGACTATGAATACAAGTTTACACTTGTAGACGTTGGAGCTTATGGAAGCAACAACGACGCTAGTGTTTTTTTCCAATCCGAATTTGGACAAGCTCTGTTTGAAGGAGAACTCGACTTGCCAGAAAACACAAGATTACCTGGAACAATTCAGAGACACCATGTTTTTTCGTAGGTGATGAAGCATTCCAGTTGACATAAAACCTAATGAGACCATATTCTGGTCGAAATTTATCCGAGGACAAAGCAATTTTTAACTATCGACTCTCGCGGGCTAGGACTATTGAGAATACTTTTGGAATTCTCGCAGCACGCTGGAGAATCTTCACTCACCCAATCTCTTTGCATCCTGATAGTGCGGACAAAATTATTATGGCTTGTTTGTGTCTCCATAACTTCCTTATGACAGAAAACAACCAAATGCAAGCAAATCATAGAACATACTGCCCGAGTAACTACGTAGATACGGAATTAGACAATGGTAATGTTATTCCTGGAGAATAGCGAAAGGAGAATACTGCAGGAATTCAAAATCTTAGACCATCAAGCGCGCATCGAGCAAGAACCGAAGCATACACTCAAAGGGATATGTTAAAAAATCATTTTTTGACTTCCGAAGGTGAAGTGACGTGGCAATATGCATACGTTCGCAGAGGTTTTAATGGAATAGATATTTAGAGGTGCTTTGTAGAGGTGCTGGAGGGGGTGTTGATCGTAATTCACTTTGTAGAGGTGCTGGAGAGGGTGTTGAGTCTATCGAATGATTGGAAACTTCCCATTCCAAAACAGACTTTCGCATAGTTTGCATAGGCGAAGACGATTGAGAAGCTAGCGAATGTAAAGGAGTCTTCATATGTAATTACATTTGGAGTCATCAAAGAATTAATTTTCAGAAAGATCTCTTCCTGAAAATTAATTGGAGATATTAACATAACTTTTCTTGTAAAATTATACATTTTATAATAGACAAGGAATTATTTATAAGTAATTAATTAGAGGTAATTTGTGTAAAATACTGCATTTAATGTTTTAAAATATATTTCTTCCTTATATAATCATGTTTTATAATAATTTGTTCCTTATAATAAAGCATTTAAGATTCATATAAAATTTGTAAGATTTTTTGTTTCCTACTTCTTTTTTCAGCTTCTGGTAAGGCTTCTAACTCTGCAACTATTAATGACGCAAATGAATGATCAGCAGTGCTTGTAGATCTTGAATTACGTGGATCCATGAAACGTTGCTGCATAACCTGAGTCAAATTAAAAAAAGATTCTTCCATCTTCTTCAAGTCTTTGGTTTTCTTGATGTTTAACGTACATTCTCGTTGTGCAAGTGCCGGAGATGGTATTGATCGTGATCCACTTTGTAGAGGTGCTGGAGATAGTGTTGATCGTGATCCACTTTGTGGAGGTGCTGGAGATGGTGTTGATCGTGATCCACTTTGTAGAGGTGCTGGAGAGGGTGTT